TTCACACTGCATGCCTTACCTTTGGGATAGATTAGATTTTGCATGCAACCTCAATGTTCTTCTAATGCTCCAATCACCAAGCTACCAACATCATGCACAATTATTTCTTCAAAAGTTTTACCAACCGTGGCCTTAAAACATAATATAAAGCGTACTATTTCTCTTTCACTTTTTTGTCATGCACCCATGGTTTTGATAGCTTGCATGCCACTAAATCCTCTCCAATCAAGCTAATCTTTGCTGCCACAAAACATTTCTTATAGTTACCAGCCCATTTTCAAAAATCATTCAAACTAAAACCACAATCCTTACTTTATTTCTCTTGTATCTTGAAACTGAGCTTTACACCTCCATCAACACTCAACAGCTTCTCTCTTGAATGTTGAAGACTCTTTGGGTGATAGAATAGCAAAAATCTATAAGATAAAGTGAGGAAACCTCACAGTTTCTCTTGAACCCTCCCAACCTAAGCCTTTTCTACTTTTCTCTCCTTTTCCTTTCTCTTTTTCTTCCTCGGGTGGAACTTTTCAAGCTTTCTATTCTTTCTTTTCTTCTATAAATGGTCCGCTCTCAAGTCTAACCAAAGCCTATTCACCTTTCTTTTTATCCTCAAATCTTGGTATTTATATGGCCACCCTCTTGGACCAATAAAATTTCATGCATACATTTGCCTTTAATTTTCATTTGGCCATTTTGCCAACCAATGGATTTTCATGCACCAATTTCCTTTCTTCCACATTGGTTAAAACTCTTCCTATACTTATCCATATTCATTCTTTAATTTATTTACACTTAATTCCACCTTACTTGTATCCAATTATCTTTCATGCAACTTTCCCACCTTAATTTCCATTTGGCCTCCTCTTTGGCCATTGACATTACATGCAACTATATTTTCTTTTCTTTTAGTCTGATTGCCACCAAGAATCCATTATGCATAAATCCTTCATGCATTCTTTTAATTTAGATATCCACATGCATGTGTTATCTTAATCATTCCTCTTATGTCTTTATGCTTGTCACAGAGAGGGGGTCCCCACTCCAAGTACATCCCTGCATGCATATCTTTGCATGTAATTGTATTTGTTGCATGCATATTCCATCCTCCCACACAATCTAACTTTCCTTGGTTAGTTAGTTTCCATTTTAACTTCAAATGTTGAAATTGTACATAAATCCTCAAATTTTCCTTATTTACCATTTAACCTTCCAAACGTTTCATCATTTTCAATTAAGTCCACTTATCATTCCTTTAACTCCAATTTCCTTCTATTTTTCTTCCTTTATACTTATACAAATAAAATATCAAGTTGACACTTCACCAAAGTATCACCATAATATTTAAATATATATTTACCCTCACTTGTTTTTATTTAATAAAGGCACGTGGGCCCCACTTACATCGTTTTTCTTCAAAATTCTTTCTTACTTCTTCTTTCCCACTTAGATTAGTCATATTGTCCTCTTTCACGACTAATTTCAACAACAGATAAAATATTAATACTTTAATATTATTTTATT